AGAAGATAATGGTCAAGAAATTGGAAAATTTCACGCAAAAGATCTCCAAAAGCGTATGACTTAATCACTCTGACCGATTTTTCAGCTTCCTTTATCACTGTAAAAGCTTATAAAATAACCTGTGTTGTGATGGTCAGCTTTGTATCTCTATATAAAAAGCTATCAGTAAGAAAACTAACCACGCAGAGCCAAAACCACTGGCTAACAATATTAATATGTATTTTTATTACAGTCTAATAACTTTAAACTGATTTGCTAAGATTTATTGGGGCTCCCCAAGTGGCCCCAATCGCTTCCAGTTGGAAAAAAGGTAAATTTTCCTTTCAAAAATTCTGGACGCTAAACCGTTTAACCAATCAAATCCGTGTTTTCGCCCAAAAATAGTTTAAGACATTATAAATGTTTAAAAAATTTGATCGCTTAGATTTAAGGCTTTTTACTATTTTTAACACCCGTTCTAAAATTACAATATAGCCAAAAATATCAAAAAATGGCACTTCTAAACTGTGTATCAAAAATTGCTTCGGTAAAGTTTTTCCTTAAGCTTTAACGATTCATTTGATGGTTTCACCAAAGCTCTAGCTATCTTCTAAACAAAGAAACTAAGCAACAAGAAAGGAAAGCTAACTTCGGGCGGAGCCGAAGTTGATATACCCTTGCAGAATACTCTGTAAATTATATTCTCCAAAATTATTCATATGATGCATTCTTAACACTCATAAAAAATCCGAACTTCCTAACTTTAACAACAACAAAGTTATGGCATTTCCAATCGTTCAGTTATATGGCAGCTATAGGATATAGTCGGCCGATCCTTATGAAATTTGATAGGTCGGATTGATTGGCCAAAAATAAAATCCATAGAAAATCCCAACTTCCTAACTTTACAAACACCAAAGTTATGGCATTTCCGATCAATCAGTTATATGGCAGCTATAGGATATAGTCGGCCGATCCTTATGAAATTTGGTAGGTCGGATTGATTGGCCAAAAATAAAATCCATAGAAAATCCCAACTTCCTAACTTTACAAACACCAAAGTTATGGCATTTCCGATCAATCAGTTATATGGCAGCTATAGGATATAGTCGGCCGATCCTTATGAAATTTGGTAGGTCGGATTGATTGGCCAAAAATAAAATCCATAGAAAATCCCAACTTCCTAACTTAACAAACACCAAAGTTATGGCATTTCCGATCAATCAGTTATATGGCAGCTATAGGATATAGTCGGCCGATCCTTATGAAATTTGGTGGGTCGGATTGATTGGCCAAATATAAAACCCATAGAAAATCCCAACTTTCTAACTTTACAAACACCAAAGTTATGGCATTTCCGATCAATCAGTTATATGGCAGCTATAGGATATAGTCGGCCGATCCTTATGAAATTTGGTAGGTCGGATTGATTGGCCAAATATAAAACCCATAGAAAATCCCAACTTCCTAACTTTACAAACACGAAAGTTATGGCATTTCCGATCAATCAGTTATATGGCAGCTATAGGATATAGTCGGCCGATCCCGGCCGTTCCGACTTATATACTGCGTGCAAAGGAAAGAAGGGTGTGTGCAAAGTTTCAATCCGATAGCTTTAAAACTGAGAGACTAGTTTGCGTAGAAACAGACAGACGGACAGACGGACAGACGGACAGACGGACAGACGGACATGGCTATATCAACTCAGGAGGTGATCCTGATCAAGAATATATATACTTTATAGGGTCGGAGATGTCTCCTTCACTGCGTTGCACACTTTTGACCAAAATTATAATACCCTCTGCAAGGGTATAAAAAGTCGATTTATTATCGAATTTAAGTGTCTCCATAAGCATCATACGTTTTCTGCCTGCATATTGCTATCTCTCTCTGCATTTTTATACAAATTGTCAAAAAATGATTCCGTCTCCCTCCCTCTTCCTCTGCCTTGCATTTCCCTGCGCTTCCTTAAAAATATAAAATGAGCTTTAATACTGTTTTAATTTCTGTAGACTTTAGTTTATAGTTATTGGTGATCCAAAAGATTGCAAAGACTTCAAAATGGTCATTAACGCTAATAAAAAGCCAGCAAATGCTCATAGAGGTCGTTATAATGCACCTCAAACAAATGAAGTGGATTTGGTATTAGTTGATCAACAATTTCAAAGTCCCGTTGTTATTGAGAGTCATAATAGCAAAGTGAACTTCACCGATCTTATGACTGTCTACAATATCCATTAAATTTTGGCAACGGATATGATGGATATGCCATAAATATTCCCCAACGGGATCCGTTAACAAAAAATGATCTAAAGAAGACTGTATCTGCATTAAGCTTTTACAGTTATCGAATAATTCTTAGGGAGACTGAAGTCAATCACTTGCATTATTATAGAGCTGTTTAATCAATTTTTGGTTGATATGAGTGCAAAAATGGAAACCGAACGGCTTAATTATATTCGAGCAAATCAAAAAAAGTTGAGAGCAGAAAGTTACATACATCTTCAAGAAGCTATAGGTAGGGGAGATGCAGATATGACTCAACTTGGTCAGATGGTGATTTTACCTTCTACTTTTACAGGCTCTCCTCGATATATACATGAAAAGACCTAGGATGCTATGACTTATGTTCGACATTATGGCCGACCTGATCTTTTTATAACATTTACCTGTAACCCTAAATGGGAGGAAATAACGAATGAGTTGTTTCCAGGACAAAAACATCAGGATCGTGATGACCTGATATCTCGAGTCTTTCATTTAAAAGTTAAAACATTAATGGCGCTGTTGGTTAATGGCCAATTGTTTGGTGAAGTACAGTGTTTTATGTATTCTATTGAATGGCAAAAACGTGGTCTGCCCCATGACCACATACTTATTACATAAGAAAAGTAGGATATTGGGGTTATCCATCGCAAGCCAAGCTGCGGGCTAGCATATACTGTCTGTCCTCTGTCCGTCTGTCTGTTTCTACGCGAACTAGTCTCTCAGTTTTTAAGATATCGAATTGAAACTTTGGACACACCCTTCGTTCCTTTGCACGCAGTATATAAGTCGGAACGGCCGGTATCGGTCGACTATATCATATAGCTTCTATATAAGTGAACGATCGAAAATGCCATATCTTTGGTGTTTGTAAAGTTAGGAAGTTGGGATTTTTATACCCTTGCAGAGGGTATTATAATTTTGGTCAAAAGTGTGCAACGCAGTGAAGGAGACATCTCCGACCCTATAAAGTATATATATTCTTGATCAGGATCACCACCTTCGGCTCCGCCCAAATTTAGCTTTCATTTCTTGTTCATTTTTATATTTATATAACCTAACCATAACCAATTAAGTTACAGCCACTCAGATACACCCCTGCATGCACACGTACATATTGCTATTAAGACCAAGATTTGTATTTGAATGTTAACATGGAGAAACTAAACTAATTTAATATAATACGGTACTTAAAGAAAACAAACACACATTAAATTACTTAAGGGTTAACACACTAAATTTCTTGAATTGAATAGTGTTGACAAGGTTGGGCGGGTAATACGCCAAGCTCATAAAAATAAAGCAATACGCATAAACATAACTAAAAGTGTAACACCTGGCTAGGCTAGCACATAATTCTCTTGTAATCCGACGAAGTCCTAGCCGAAAACGTACCACTGCTAATGGCTTTAAAATCAAAGTCTAGTTAAAAGGCAACTCCTGTTGCCACGAGAACCATGACAAGGCTAAACGACACAGTTATATCCTCGAGGCAAAGGCGGTTTATTTAATGCTCAGGAAGTTTCGACATTACCTCATGGGCATCCACTTCAAACTTAAAATGGCCTTATAGTTGTCCCGAAATCCATGGAGAAATAAGTAATTCGAGAGTCACACGAAGTCAGCCACTTTGCAGTACAGAAGACCGTTCATTCCGTAAAGCAACAGTTTTGGATATCTTATCTGGAGCGGAAGGTAACAAATTTTATTCTCAACTGTATTAAATGCATTAAGAAGTTGGGAAATCAAGAAGCGTTCCTACACTGCATAGCCAAAAGAGATGTTCCGCTGCATACGCTACATTTGATCACTTGGGGCCGATGGACTCCACTTCGAAGCAGTACAAATACATTCTGGCAATTGTAGATGGCTTCGAAAAGTTTGTTTGGCTTTACCACACGAAAACGACCGGATACGAAGAGGTCATCAGGAGATTTACCGAATGGTCTTACCGATCGAGGAGCAGACTTTACATCTGGTGTGTTTTAAGAGTGGCTGGACACCAACAAAGTGGATCACGTAAGCTCAACTACTGGAGTTGCTCGTGGAAATGGTCAAGTCGAGCGGATTAACCGATCGATTCTCGCATGTGGTTCAGGTACATATGTGCCTCAGGTGCAAAAGGCCATAAACTGACAAGTGCATTGCTTAACAAAGTTTTTACCCTTTGAGCTTTTATTTGGCACAAAGATGTGGCAAGAGGAGCGTTTGCATGAGATTTTAAACGAAGAATATGTTTCCCAATGCACCTTGATCGAAACCTAATGCGAGAGGAAGCGAAGAAAAACATTGAAGCGGCTCAGCAAGTATACAAGCTAAACTACAACAGGAGGCGAATTTCTGCATTGGTTAGATTCCTTAAACGTTTATGCAATCTAAAAAAAACTGAATATTTTAAGAAATCTTAAGAATGTCTCAAAATGAAGGGATATAGTGGCATATATATGCATTTGTGTCTTTTTTTTGTCAAAAATGTACTATTATTTTTTGACCATTCCTAAAGTTAAATTAAAAGAAACGCAAGTAACAGACAGATAACGGACTATTGGCGAATTAAAAATGAAATTTTAATCGAGGTCGTTTGATACGGTTTTTCGTCAAAATACACGAATCTTTGTGCATATTTGTATTATTATTTTAACCATGGAGTAATCATTTATATAAACTATCTACAAAACGGCAAACAAAACGGGAAACATGTAAAAACAAGCATCTGACTATATATACACAGAGAGAATATTTTTAATACATGAAAATTTTTGTAACAGCAAAATATATTTTATTCTTATCAAACTAATGTGAACACATTTATGACTCTTAAAAACTTCAATGTCGAGTACAGGAAATCGATTAGTTAAATAACTTATTTTTTTTTTCTTAAGTAAAAATAAAAAGGAAATGAAATCTTTGATTTCACATTGAGAACAGTTTCTTGAGCTCTGCGAGGTTGAGGCCACCGCCACCGCGAGCGGACACTCCTCCATCTTCCTCCGGCAGCACTACTTTGGCAATTTCTAACTTGTAATCCTGCAGCGCCTTGATTCGCTGCTCCACGGTGTCCTGACAAATATATCGGTATATGAAGGTGGGCTTGTTTTGACCATATCGATAGATACGATCCTGAGCTTGCCGCTCCAGCTGTGGGTTCCAATGTAGGTCCACCATTAGCATATGATTTGCCACGTTAAGATTAAGTCCTACTCCACCAGCAGTAAGGGAGAGTAGGAGAACCCGCTTGTCATTATTGGCATTAAATTCTCGCAGTACCAGCTCGCGATCTTTTGCGGACAGCTGGCCAGTAAAGTCAAGCGTTTCCCACGACTGATCCTGCAGACGCTTACGGATGATAGCCAGATAGCTAATCCACTGTGATGTAACGATGATTTTGTCGTTGGTATCCGCGAGTAGCTTCTCCAGCTTGTCAATGACTAGCTTTAGTTTTGCAGAAGAGCGTGCAAATTCGAAGATAGGATTTTGTGGATTTAGCAGCTTAATAGCTCTGGCCGCATCTAATGGATTAGTAGAACTGCATGATTGTTGCTCAACTTCCATGTCCCATGGAATAATCTGTTTGTTTAATCCTTCGAGGGGTATGTCCTCAACTTTTATGTCATCCGTCTTGACACTTCGGTTTCCTGGAAAACTGCCCTCCTCCTCCAAGAAATCCTCTTTATTTACGGGTTTGTCATATTTGTCCAACTCCGCAAGGACATCCATCTTGAGCTGACCCTCCACATCTGAGACATCCGTCCTTACGTTCTGCACATCTTCAGCGGTCATAGAACCACAAAGCATCTGGCGAGTGGTGAAAGTTCAATGAAGTACAATGTTTAAAGGATTTATAGAGTTAATACTTACTCCAAGCATTAGACCTGGGTGGCAGCAGAATTGCCGTAGGCGCAGCAGCAGCACAAGAATAACAATACCCTTGATCGTAGCTCCCGGATTATAGCCAAGCGACCTCAAGAATCTGTGGTAGATCTCTGTGTACTTGGCTTCAAAAATGTCTTTTATAAACTGAGGCGTCTTTTCCAATGAATAATAGTTTAAATCACTGTTGGCCTCCTCGCGTTGCAGCAGGAACTGTGTAAAGATTTTTTGAGAGATGGCAGAGAGGATCTGATACACGGCCATTTCCGGTTCCGAGAGCTGCACGGAGATTAGCTCAATCTTTAGAGGAGGCAGTGCAGGCATGTCACCTGACTCCTGCAGCTGTTGCTTTGTCCTGCGCAGCATTAAAGGTTTTATAATAAAGTTCAGTCGGCGGTGGCCGTCCATGCCTTCGTTTAAGTACTTCTTCCACTGCTGGAGGTCCCGAAAGTTAGGTACTTCCAGAAAACGCAGCAGGGCGAATACGTCGACGGCACGATTCTGGACTGGAGTACCGGTTAATGCCCAATGGCAACGGGCTCTAAGCTGGCAGACGGAACTGCAGCAACTGGTCTTTACATTTCTAATGATGTGAGCCTCGTCGAGAATCACACGGTTCCAGACAACGGCAAACAACAGGGAACTGTTCCCAAATCTTTTGTTCTCGCTCACCAAGAGATTGTACGAGGTAATAACTAAATCATAACTTCTAAATACCTCTAACCCGATCTCCTGGCGGTTGGCTCCGTGATAAGTCAGGACCCTGAGGGCATTCGGTGCCACCTTAGATGCCACTTCCTCAGCCCACTGGCACATTAGGCTCATGGGGCACACCACTAATGTGCCAGCAGGGGGATAGCGAATGGTGACAGCATGCTCTTCCTCTTCATCTGAACTAAAATTGGTTGCTTCGGGCTCCTGACATAAGCGCTTTGCTGACGGTTCGGTTATTTCCTCCTCCCCTGCAGACTCTTCTTCATCATCGAAAATATTAAATTTGGGGATTTTCTTATTGTACACTAGATTAAACTCCTGGGTCCACTTTAACTCCAAGGAACGCTGTTTTTCAACTCTTTTTTTGCTTTTAGTTCCCTGTGAAGCCAGCACCAGGGAAATCATACTCAGGGTTTTCCCCAGACCCATGTCGTCAGCCAAAATTCCGCCGCAGATCGTCTGGCGCTCACGGAACTGCATCCATTTAAGGGCTGCTTTCTGATGCTTAAGCAGGCGAACCATAAGGAGGGCAGGCTGCTCTTCTAAGTCATCGGCCGTGGGACTGGGTTCCGAGGGCTCATAGAGCATCTGAAAATTGAGTTTAGATTATAGACTTTTATATATATTCTAAAAAAGTACATTTTAAATTTATCAGAAGGTATTAAAGATAGAAGTTTTAGAATGAAAATACGCAAAACATGAAAGGAAGCAAACTTCGGTATGCCGAAGTTATGACAAAACGACTTAATGACTATGATATGCCCGATCTGGCTCATCCCGACTTATATAATACCTACAATAGAAAGAGAACTTTTGGGAAAATTGCAAGCAGATAGCTTTAAAACTGAGAGACGTGAAACGGACGGACGGATAGACAAACATGCCTAGATCGACTCTCCTGGCGATCCTGAACAAGAATATATATATATATATTATAAGGTCAGAAATTTCTCCTACACTGCATTGCAAACTTTTGACTGAAATTATAATACCCTCTGCAAGGGTATAAAAAAGATACAAATTTTTAATTTTTTACAACACATGTGGCTAAAAACGTCTTTTCGAAAGTCAAAAGCATAATAAATGACAACGTGTATCTGTAGTAACTCTGGTTACCAATTTGGTGACCAAAGTGTTATTTTTAAATGTTTGTAAGTAAAAGAAAAAAGGTAATTCGTTAAAATAATTATTTAAAAAAAAATTTTGTATTTTATTAAGGGAGCAAGATACATTTAAGAAAATATCTTAAAAACAACTTAGTTTTGAAAATGACAACCAATTATTTTTTGGCATCCAGAGGACATTCTCAAAACATAGTCTGTTACAATAACATTTTTTTAAACTTCTACTGGCGTTTCTTTTTCCCCTCAAGCAAATAGCAATCATCCTCAAAAGTTTCCTCAGGCAAAGTTTGGTATTATTCTAATCCCCGAAAAGAATTGGGGATGCTTTAGAATAAAGTCCTAATGAATTTATTTTAAGAAGGTAGAAAATTAAAAATACTACGAAAACAAATTTTAAAGTTCCGAGAAAATAAATTCATTGCTTAATATTTAAAAAATAAAAGGTTTTGATATAAAAATAACTATTTTAAAAATTGCTAATATTACCAAAATTTTTAGTACTGTCATCTTAGAATAGACAAGATACATGGAAGCCTATAATACCAGTGCCCCATCGGTAAAAATCTATGCCTTTTCACTTAAATCTTGTGATTTACTTTAAGGTTTTTTTTGTTTTTTTAAAGATGTTTGTAATAATATTTTTCAATTGTATAATTTTTTTTCCAGCTGACTTGTACACTCTCGAAGTGTAGAGCTCACAAAGCTTATGAGTCTTCGACAAATTTTAAATTCTTTTTTTTTCAATCCAATATCTAATTTAAAGTTATCCAGTAAATGATTAAGTGATCTTGTGAGCTACTTTAGCAAGAGCCAATGGATACAATCCTTTAGTTTGTTGTCGAATTTTTGATGTTTAAAACAAATCCATTTCTTGACATAAAAAAAATTTCTGATTACATTTGATTTTCGGATTATATTTGATTAAATTCCTTTTTAAAATTTTGTCATTCAACCTACTTAGCCAAATGTAATCATTTTTCGTCACTAAATTTGATATAAAATATTTTTCTCGATATATACAATTAAAAAAAAAACTTTAATAGAAGGACTATATGAAAATGAATACGAAAATAAAAGAAAAATGAACATTACTTTTTTATGTTGTAACATATACACAATGAACTCAAGATAGAATTTTTATAATTTTTCAAAAAAACATTTAAATATCACAGAATAAAATGACTATAAAATTAAGGTCTTTTTAATTATTTCTCCTGTCCGTTTGCACGCAGTAAAAAATTGGGCACCACTGCTTCGATAGATTTAGTTGTTAGGCGTAGAGTGTTTGGTGAGCATTAAACTCCGAGTTCGATCCGAGATATGTATACCCATAATAACATTTAACAAAGGTTCCGAAATTTAACTCGAGATGCCTGCTATTTGCACTGCAAACTTTAAAGAATATCTTAAAATTAGGTTTTTCAAAATATAGCCCGTTTCGATTATAATTTACCGACTTTTGGAAGTTTCGTTTAAATAGCTTTAAAACTGAGAGACTAACAAGCGATGAAACGGGCGGACAGACGGACTTGGCTGGATCTTGATGCTGATCAAGAACGTATGTAAGGCAATTTAAAGACGGACGTGAAGAAGCCACTTACGACCTTCTTATTCCGAAAAGCTTATTAAGTTCCCTTAACCGTTTTAAAACTATATTTAATTTAACGCATTTAAAGTATCATATCAAATGGAAAAAGACTTTAAGCAAACCTGCTGTTTGCAGAAAAAAAAACAAATGTGTGTTGCATTAACGAACTAAGTCCTTGTAAAGCTAAATTGCCCTCAACTATCAGAATTACAGCTTATTTTAAATCGGAAAAAAAATACCTTCAGGCTGTTGATGATGTTGCTCTTGTGCTGATAGAACTCGGCCGAAGTGTGCTTGGTTTTGTGGCGGTGGCGGTTCAGGCCGGAATACAAATTGGACCAACGGGGTTGCTCGATCTGCTCGGGCTCCTCATTGACCTTGTTAGACGGTTGATCCTCCTGGACGCGGAGGGTGTCTAGAAATTCGCCCAATAACTCTAAGCGCGTATTAAGCTTCTCCAAGCGCAATCTCAGATCGAGGAGCTCTTCGTTGTTAGATCCATTTTCTTCAAGCTGACGCTGCAGTTGTTCCATGCCAAGCATTTTCTGAACCAGGTTATCGATTTGCTTCTTTTTTTCCGAGTATTCCATTGCGCTGACGAAAATGGCACCTGCATTGTTTGCGTATTCTGTTGGTAAAATAACAATAAGTAACAGGAAAAGTTGTAATTATAAATACAACCGCCTACCACTGGATAATTCTATACCCGCTTCATCTAGCACCCGCTGGTTACTAATTTCATCAGAACTGTCGCTTAAGTTGGCGACCGTTTGATAATGGACATTATGCGGTCGTTCACTATTTTCGTTGTCTTCAGATGATGAGGAAAAGTTAATCTGATAAGACATCGAAGTTTCAATATCAGACAAATTATTAAAATTTCTGATCGCTGCTGAACTGCAACAGGGCGGCGAATCCGTTATCGAGTTCGGGCTTTGCGACTCTGAAATTCAATTCTTTTTAGTGACCAGTTGATAGAATATTTGATTTAATACTTACTGTCCGTCGCCATTTTCTAATAAAACTTGAAAAACGTCACAACAATTTATTACGCTTTACTTGCTCAAACACTTTCGAACAAGTCCTGGTCAGTGTTGGTTGCTGCCGCCTTGCCCAGCAATGTAGTCAACAAATGGCTTTTCGATAGCTGTAATAAAACTGTTATATACTCATCCCACTATTCCATTTGCGGATGGAGGAAACGTTCCTCACACAGCCACTGAAAAATAGTGTCGCGACCCAGAAACCCACTGTTGCAAAAGCTAAAAAGAGGAAGAAGAGATTGTGAAAGTTAAATTTTCCCGCCAATAAAATGGATAGTAACCGAAATCTAAATAAAAATTTTGCATTAGCGGTAGAACGCTTCAATAAAAATGCGTTACTTTAACCGGGATCTAAAAACTGGGAAGCAACAATTTCAAAGGAAAATTGACTTTGCCATAACTGTCAGCAGTTTTCCCAGCTTGGATGATGTGGTGACTATCAAACCCTATTGGATTTCTTCTTAAATATACATAGTTATAAAAGCTAGGCGAACTTTTTGCGCAAAATGACAATATTTATCCTGTACGCTCCGAGATTCCTTTCTTTTCTACATAATGATAATATACAAATGCCTATCTTTCGGCCAAGCAAAATTACCTAAATACTTAGAACATACAAGAGCTACATATATGTACATATACAGACACGCTTATGTTAATAGGCTTTAAGGTTTGGCCAAAAGTTTTCCGTGCAAGTCAAAAAGGATCATTATTTTCGTCCACTAAAATTACCAATTTTCTATTTTATTAAGTGCAATTCTTTATTAATATTTAATATTTGACATTCTTACCATTATATAGTGGATGGTGAATTGTTATTGTTGAATCAAGCATTCCGCTGGGATGTGTTCCGTGGAAATACCATATAAACGTTTGTGTTCAACCAATGTCTGGAAGTTCATCTCCATAAAATATCGATATTTTCTGCGAATATGGCATCCCTGTCCGTGCTGTCATTCTAAATTAAATGGCGCTGAGTTCCCAGCATTTTTCGTAAATTAATTCTACGTAAAATGTCCAGCGAAAGCGAGCAATATTACAGCAATGAAGAGGAGGATTCGGTGGTTAACAACACAAGTTCAGGTTAGTTTTTGGTGGGGCGGCTGGATATTGTTTATTACTTTGTTCACGTTCCATGCGATCTAGGCCTAGCAAGCCAATCTTCTCATCTCAGCCAAAATAGCAAAGGGACTGGCGTCATTATAGATGAAACCGACACTGAAGCGGAGGATTCAAAGCTGGCGGAGCGCTCGGAAGAATCAGGACAGACCAGTAAATCGGAGGAATCGGAAGAGTCGGAAGAGACCGGTAAGTCGGAGGAATCTGAGGTATCTGGTGAATCGGAGAACGACAGCTTTCGACCGCACGCCAAGAGCACCAAAAGAAAAATGCTCCGGCCCTTGGGAATACCTTCCGATACCGAGAATGAGGACGAAGAACTGGAACAGCGCGCCCTGTCTCCATGCACCCGTATGAGTATCACCGGAGTGCGGCCCCAGGATCTCAGCGATGGCGACAGCGAGATCGAATACAGCGATGAGGGGCAGGAGACTAGACAGGCAACCGCTCAAGGAGCTGTCGTGCCGCGCTACACCACTCAGTTCGCCGGCAACATCCAAGAAGCCCTCCATTCAACCCTGGGCTCTGCGGAAACAGAGCCTCTGGATGAGTCCAGCGGAAGTGACGTGCTGATTCTCAGCAGCAAGGAGACGCCCATTGAGATATTGTCTAGTACGGATGAAGACACCAGCAACAACAAGGAAAACATGTCCGGTTCTAATTTAGTGCGGTCATCTAGATCCTATTCTCCAAGAGGCAACGCTGGCGCTCCAGTGATCAAGGCCAGTAAGTCTCTTAGTCAGCCCACCATACAGGCGGCCCTCAAGTTAAAAACGTCGCCCGCTCGAAGCCAATCAAAGGTGAAGACCGAGGAACAGAGGGTGGTTAGCCAGGTGGTCTACGAGGAGGAGATGCGCAAGCTGGCAGAGAGTCGTGCTCAGCTTAGTGATGCGGAGAAGTTGTTTGAGAAGGTGGCCCACAAGCTGCCCGACAAGGGCAGCCAGATTATGAAGCGCATAGCTGCCCTGCGCAAAGAGGTAGAAGTGAAGGCACAAATTGCAAACGGATTAAAGGTGGAACCGAGTAGGGTGCCCGCAATAAAGGTTACCAACGCAATATTCAATGCACCAAAGGCCCCTCAAATCGACACACCTGACTGGGAAGACTTGTCGGCAGAGGTCAATCAGATCAAGCCTGTTTACACAGGCACCCAGGGAATGGCCACGTTCAACAACCAGAAGGCCCTCACCGTGGAATCATTGAAGGTTGGTTAAATAACATAATTAAACATTCAAGTCAAAATTTGTTAATTTAGTCACCAAAAAGCAATACAAAACATATTTTAATAAAAAACAAAAAGTAAGCAAACTTCGGCAAGCCGAAGTTGATATACCCTTGTACTTATTACAAAACGACTACATTTCGAACTCTATGCCTATATTATTAAAAACAATGAAGCCATATCTCAAGAGAATATTTTCATAAATAAAAACACAACAAAATAAAATTATTTTAATTTTTATTTTTTTCAATTTTTTGTTTTTCCTATTCGAGTTATGGGATATAGATGTCCGATTTTAATTTAATTAAAACCGTAATTCCATAGTAATTAAATATGACCAAAACCTAAAGAACAAAAAAAATTTCAGATTGTTCCTATGGGAGCTTTATGATATAGTCGTACTTTCCGGCTCGTTCCGACATATAATACTACCTACAATAGAAAGACAACTTTATGGACAGTTTTACGCAGATAGTTTTAAAACTGAGGGACTAGTTTGGCTAGATCAACTCTTCTGTTGAATATAAATAGTTATATGGTCGAAAATGTCCCTTCACTGTGTTGTAAAATTTTTAGATTGAAATTATAATACCCTCTGCAAGGGAATAAAAATATCCATTTAACAAAAGCGAAGGTATTGCGGAGGTATATATTTGTTTAATTTATTTATAAATTGCATGTAATACAAAATATGTTATTATTTATTTTTATACCCTTGCAGAGGATATTATAATTTTGGCCAAAAGTGTGCAACGCAGTGAAGGAGACATCTCCGACCCTATAAAGTATATATATTCTTGATCAGGATCGCGTTCTGAGTTGATATAAGCATGTCCGTCTGTCCGTCTGTCTGTTTCTACGCTAACCTAGTCTCTCAGTTTTGATGATATCGAATTGAAACTTTGCACACACCCTTCTTTCCTTTGCACGCAGTATATAAAACGGAACGGCCGGGATCGGCCGACTATATCCTATAATCGCCATATAACTGATAGATCGGAAATGCCATAACTTATTTATTTTTGTGTGCTTTCCAAAGTCATTGTTGCTCCATTTCATCATAAGATGAGGATATCTTTCTGATATAAAAGCTTGCAAAAAAATACATATAAATTTTGGAATAATAATGTTAGGTACTACACGAATTTAATAATAATAGGTTACTGATTTTTTTCAACTAAGTTGCTATCGTTCTCCCTAAAAATAATTGTTAAATTTATTTAGTACTTAACATTATTTTTTCTAAAATTTGAAAATATTGGTTTACAAGCTATTATCTTTTTTTATTGAAGGTAAAGTGACTAACTTGCGGATATTTTTTTTTGCATTTTTTTATGTATATTTGTTTCTGTAACCATTACCCCAATATTTTAATTTTAAAGCTTGAGAAAAATTATTATTAAATTTTATGAATTTATTATTCTTTGAAATAAAAAAGCCGATTTAAGTGGTATGACAAACTAATACTTATCGTAAAATTTTTATACCCTTACCCGCAGTGAAGGAGACATTTCCGACCTTATAAAGTATATATGTTCTTGATCAGCATCACTAGGAGAGTCGATCTAGCCATGTCCGTCTGTCCGTCCGTCTGTCCGTTTTTACGCATACGAGTCTCTCAGTTTTAAAGCTATCTACTTGAAACTTTCCCAAAAGTTGTCTTTCTATTGCAGGTAGTATATAAGTCGGAACGAGACAGATCGGGCGACTATATCAAATAGCTCCCATAGGAACAATCGGGAAAAAAATGTAAAAAAAATAAAACTTTGTTTTTAATTTTTTTGATCTTTGGGATTTTGTAATATTTAAATATTATAGATTTATGGTTTTAATTAAATTAAAATCGGACAACAAAATCATATAGATGCAATAGAAACGATGGCAAAATGCAGCGCAAAATCGACATAGCGTCATTGTTTTTAGTAATATAGGCAAATATATCGAAATGCAGTCGATTTGTAAAAACTGCTTCCTTTCTTGATTCTCATTTTTTTAGTTGTCCATATTGCTAGTAAGGTAACAGTTTACAAGGCTAAATCGCTTTAAACTGATCAAAGACTGAATTTCGCACGTGCCGACTTTTTACCCTTTTAGCATTTGTGATGAGTCAGAACGGATATCTGAGTGGCATGCTCATATTTGGAGGTCGCTGGGCACGAGTTACTGTGCGGCGGGCAACCAAGAGCATGCCAAGATTAAGAATTCGAAAACTGAATTTTTATAGCAGAAAATGCATTTCTCCCAATAGAGTGCAAAGAGGCTAATGATTGTTTTTGTAGGACCTCCATGGCTCACTGAAGGATTGCCCTGGACCCGAAGTGCTGGCGGAGGATCCCAAAGGCTTAAAAATCGCACTGATGGATCACCAAAAGCACGCCTTAGCCTGGATGTCATGGCGCGAGCGACAGGTTACTCGCGGGGGAATTCTGGCAGACGATATGGGCTTAGGCAAAACTCTGACAATGATCTCATCCGTGCTAGCATGCAAGAATCGCCAGGAGAGAGGGCAGGAAGAAGATCAGAGTAGCGACAGCGACAGTGATGATGAGAAAAACAAAAAGCGAAAAAGTACTGGCGAATGGAAGTCCAAGGGACGGAAGGACAGTAAGTGTCAATACCAGGATTTCATTTTAATTTAAAGTGTCTTAATCAATTTGATTTCCTTCCTTTAAATATTTTATTACCTAATTAAAATTTGTTTATAATTGTTACAAATTTTTCAGCCCACAAGGGTGGCACTTTAGTAGTATGCCCGGCAAGCTTGCTACGTCAGTGGGAGAGCGAGGTGGACTCCAAGGTGTCGCGTCACAAGCTGACCGTTTGCGTGCACCACGGCAACAACCGGGAAACCAAGGGTAAATACCTTCGCACCTACGACATGGTGGTGACAACCTACCAAATCGTAGCCCGGGAGCACAAGAATTTAAGTGCCGTGTTCGGCGTCAGGTGGCGACGGATAATCCTGGATGAAGCGCATGTGGTGCGCAATCACAAGTCACAGTCATCAATAGCCGTCAGTGATTTGCGAGGTAAATATCGTTGGGCTTTGACTGGCACTCCCATCCAAAACAAGGAACTTGATGTGTATGCGCTATTAAAGTTCCTACGCTGCCATCCCTTCGATGATTTAAACACATGGAAAAAGTGGATTGACAACAAGAGCGCTGGTGGGCAGAACCGCCTCAATCTGCTGATGAAGTCGATCATGCTGAGGCGCACCAAGGCACAGTTGCAGTTGGATGGCAAGCTGAACAATCTGCCCAACAAGGAGATACGTCTCATGGAGATATCGCTGGGTATTGAAGAGATGAACGTTTACCAAACAGTGATGACATATTCTAGGACACTTTTCGCCCAGTTTCTCCATCAACGCGCCGAGAAAGACACCGATTTTAATTACAGAAGCGAAGCCAACAAACCAACCTACAATCAAATAAAGGATCCAAATGGGGCTTATTACAAAATGCACGAAAAGTTCTCCAGAATGGCTAGCAGCAAAAAGGAGGTCAAATCTCATGATATTCTTGTGCTATTGTTGCGCCTGCGACAGATTTGTTGCCATCCGGGGCTGATCGATGCGGTGAGTTTAAGTTAAAAAGAACAAAAATGAAATTAAACATCGGCAAGCCGAAGTTTATATACCCTTGCAGTTTTTACAAAACGACTGCATTTCGATTTCTATGCCTATATACTAAAAGCAATAAGGCTATGCCGATTTTGCTGCATTTTGCCATCGTTTCTTTGGCAGCTATATTATATTGTTGTCCGATTTTGACAAAACTAAAAGCGTAATTCTGATATAGTAAACAATTACTATTTCTCAAAGAAATATTTTAATAAATAGAAAACCAGAAAAAATAACTTTTTTTAATTTTTATTATACCCTTTCAGAGGGTATTATAATTTCAGTCAAAAGTTTGCAACGCAGTGAAGGAGACATTTCCGACCCTATAAAGTATATATATTCTTGATCAGCATCACCAGGAGAGTCGATCTAGCCATGTCCGTCTGTCCGTCCGTCTGTCCGTCCGTTTCTACGCAAACTAGTCCCTCAGTTTTAAAGCTATCTGCTTGAAACTTTCCCAAAAGTTGTCTTTCTATTGCATGTAGTATATTTATTTATTTTTGGCCAATCAATCCGACCTACCAAATTTCATAAGGATCGGCCGACTATATCTTATAGCTGCCATATAACTGAACGATTGGAAATGATATAACTTTGGTGTTTTTAAAGTTAGGAAGTTGGGACTTTTTATGAGTATTAAGAATGCATCATATGAATAATTTTGGAGAATATAATTTATAGAATATTCTGCAAGGGTATATCAACTTCGGCTCCGCCCGAAGCTAGCTTTCCTTTCTTGTTTTTTTTATTTTTTAGATTTTCCTATGAGAGCTATATAATATAGGTGTTCGATTTTAATTTTATTAAAACCGTAATTCCATAGTATTTAAATATTACCAAATCCCAACGAAAAAGAAAATTAAAAACAACAAAAATATACTTTTTTAAAATTTATGACAGCTTTATGAGGAGTATGTGGAGTATATCCATATATATTTAGAAATAACGCAGTTATAGTTTTATTTCCCTTCCGATTTATGTGCTACCTGTAACAGAAATTAGTCGTTTTGCGAAGTATTATCAAAATAGATATTAAACTGATAGATAAGTCGAAATCACTACATCATATAGCGATCGAAAATGTTATCGAAAGGTGGAAAAACGATCATCGTTTTATAAAATATTACATTTTTATTATTCTTGCAAGGACTATATACTTCGGCTTGCCAAAGTTCGCTTGCTTTCTTATATTAGTATTGAAATTTCCGTCTAAAGCGTTTTTGTTTTTTTTTAGATGCTGGATGGGGAGGAGGCACAGAATATGGGAGCGAACAGTGATAGCGATTCACCGGAAATCGACTTGTTAGCGCAACTGAATAAACTGGCCATTACCGATACCTCCAGTGATGCTCATCCTTCTGGTGCCATGAGAGGAGATGAAGGCTATGCTGGCCCTCCTCTGGCTGCAGATGAAGCTCGAATCGCCAAGGCCTCTAAGAATCTGATGAAGCGCAGTAATCCGGTATTTAATTTAAACCGCCCTTCCTCAAAAATTTTAAAGGTAATAGACATACTCAGGTCATCAATTCTGAAGAGCTCGGACGATAAAGCCATAGTAGTATCGCAGTGGACCTCGGTGCTAGGCATTCTGCGGGATCATTTAAATAAGGATAGAGTGCCGACGCTGTCTCTGAACGGAGCCGTTCCGGTGAAAAGCCGTCAGGATATTGTGAATCAGTTTAACGATCCAAACAATCAAAACCGCATTCTTTTGCTCTCCCTCACCGCTGGCGGTGTGGGTTTGAACCTGATAGGTGCCAATCACCTTTTGCTTTTGGATCTTCACTGGAATCCCCAGTTGGAGGCTCAGGCCCAGGACCGAATCTATCGCGTTGGACAAAAAAAAGACGTGATTATCTACAAGTTTATGTGTGTGGACACTGTTGAGCAGCGGATCAAGGCCTTGCAGGATAAAAAATTGGAATTGGCTAATGGCGTCCTAACGGGCTCCACAGTTAGTTCAAAACTTACTATAGATGACCTTAAAGGTCTATTTGGAATGTGAAGTTGCCCAAAGCTGTTGCGATTTTAAGTTTATTTCATTGTCGTTCCTCATTTGTATTTCATAAAACAATTCTTTGATTTTATTTACAGCGAAATATTTATTTAAGATAAATGTAAATTTCCTTTTTGTTTTTATTTCTTTGTTTTGAAGCATTTTTATTAAAATTAACTAGAATACCATTTATATTGTTTGGTGATTTATAATGAGTTTTGTTAAATTTAAAAGTGTTCTACTATATTTTGATATACTTATTTTAATATTTCGCTTCTTTTGTTTATGTGGATACAATCGAATTCCACTATAATCTGAATAGCATAACATTTTTGGTTTTTGTCGAACTGTACAAAAGAAATATTTTGATGTATTAAGAATAATTTTGTTTTAAATTTAGAACTGTACGCTACACTTCTTTCTGCCGAATCAGTTCTCAAGAAGTAATAATAACCACATACTTTCTTCACAAGGCAGCACACAGCCCAAGAAAAATATAATATATTCTTAATAAATAAAATGTTTGTTTTAAGCTGAGAATTTCATATCAATCAAACTGGTTTTATGTAGGTATATTGAGGAATTTTTAACAAAATGAACTGATTTCGTTTCTTAAGTCAGTTAGGCCTAGGACTAGAACTGGTTAATATAGAATTGTGCCTATTGTAGGTTTAAATTTTGTGCTGATCGATATTAGATTCTAATTATTTTCTTGCAGAGAAACTTTTTAAAAATTAACTGTTGTATATACAATACACGAAGAGTTACAGCTGACACATACATCATTCCTTATAATAACTCGTCATAGAGTTTTTATAATATAGGTGTGCTATCTTTATTTATTTGAGATCAATTTGAAAAGGTTTTGAGGGGATTACACTTTCATATTCTGATGATCTATGATTTTTATGTTTCGATGGAATTATGTAAAAGATTAGATATTAAGGTTAGATATTAAATAACATTCTGCGGAATCAGGGAATATTTGTTACACTCTGTACGTCAGGGCCATCCATAGAAATGATCTTCAGCGAAGGTGTTGATATTAATTAATTATCGCTGTGAAAAGACAAAAATACGTTTTAAATAGATTAGTGTGTCGGCTTCTTAGTTAGTTAGAAATTCAACATTGCACTGCCAATATGCTTAAGCGCTAGTGCGGCATAAAATAATTTTTAGTACCAACGATCACAGTGCGCCCATATGGGTGCACTGTCTCGGCCATAAAGTCCATTAAAATCATTGTAATGTCTGACAGTCAGTCAAGGGCAGCTAAGGCGAAGACGACACCGGGCCCAGATATCCTTGGCCAGCTTACCTGCTGAACACAGGCCAAGTCCGCGTCCTCGGACTCTTAAGCAATGAGCTGCGCTCTGGCGCTCGTAAAAGCAAATTTTATAGCCACCGTTGCCCACGACCAGACCAAGTGGCTGGGCTGGAATGAAATGGGTTGGATTGGTATGGGTTGGCAGCCTGGTCCGCACAATATGGGAAGCATCTGGGTCCCGACCCGAGAGCTCGATTTTTATAATGCGAAATGTGATTTTTACGACGCGTTTTAAGATAATGCGGCAGGCGCTATACCTCGATTCTCCATTCGTTTTGCCTGATTTCTAATTGTTGCAGTCATTTTAGCTCAAGATAACACTGAAAACCACTTCTACCAGCTCTGCACTATAATACCAATGAAAAAATCAATGGACAATAAATTCTAAATTGTAAACAAATGTAAAACAAAGCTGCCTGTTGTCTTGAGAACATAAACAAAATAATAAATTTAAATTTATTTTAGCCCAAGATTATAAATTGAATAAGATCAGGCCCGATGAGAGGGAGACAGCCGGCACATTTTTCCGGGGCCCGCATTGGTCAGGGGCACGGCAGCGAGAAATTTTTTTCGAAAGAAAAACATAAATCAAAAAGTCCACTTTTGTTCTGTGACTAAACTCATTTAGCTTCTGATGTATAACACTTCTGTATAATTCAAATAAGAATCGAAAAGGGCCCGTGTCCGGGGCCCGGGCCCGGTGTGGCTCTCGACGGACCTGAATAAAATGTATTTCATGTATAGCACATCTATTTTGAATTAATAAAATAAGCATTGCAGTTTAAAACAAATAATCTTGCATTTCTTTTAAGTATAAATAACTTCTGATTTTTACTCACAAATTTAAAGCATTTTTGAAACCTTTTTATACCCTTGCAGAGGATATTCTAATTTTGGTCAAAAGTGTGCAACGCAGTTGATATAACTTTGTTGTTATACCCTTGCAGAGCGTATTATAATTTCAGTCAAAAGTTTGCAACGCAGTGAAGGAGACATTTCCGACCCTATAAAGTATATATATTCACCATCACCAGGAGAGTCGATCTAGCCATGTCCGTCTGTCCGTCTGTCCGTCCGTCCGTTTCTACGCAAACTAGTCCCTCAGTTTTAAAGCTATCTGCTTGAAACTTTCCCAAAAGTTGTCTATCTATTGCAGGTAGTATATAAGTCGGAACGAGCCGGATCGGGCCACTATATCGTATAGCTGTCATATAACTGAACGATCAGAAATGCCATAACTTTGGTGTTTGTAAAGTTAGGAAGTCGTGATTTTCTATGCGTTTTATTTTTGGCCAATCAGTCTGACCTACCAAATTTCATAAGGATCGGCCGACTATATCCTATAGCCGCCATATAACTGATTGATCGGAAATGCCATAACTTTGGTGTTTGTAAAGTTAGAAAGTTGGGATTATCTATGGGTTTAATTTTTCGCCAATCAATCCGACCTACCAAATTTCATAAGGATCGGCCGACTATATCTTATAGCTGCCATATAACTGATTAATCGGAAATGCCATAACTTTGGTGTTTGTTAAGTAAGGAAGTTGGGATTTTCTATGAGTATTAAGAATGCATCATATAAATAATTTTGGAGAATATAATTTACAGAATATTCTGCAAGGGTATATCAACTTCGGCTCCGCCCGAAGTTTGCTTTCCTTTCTTGTTATACCCTTGCAGAGGGTATTATAATTTTGGTCAGAAGTTTGTAACGCAGTGAAGGAGACGCTTCCGACCCTATAAAGTATATATATTCTTGATCAGGATCAATAGGGGAGTCGATATAGCCATGTCCGTCTGTCCGTCTGTTTCAATACCGTTTGCGAGCTCAGTTTAAAAGCTAGCGATCTGAAACTTTCACACTCGTCCTAAAACATGTGTACGCAGATCAAGTTTGAAAATCGCCCCGATCGGACGTTTATATCCTATAGCTCCCATAGGAACAATCGGATATATCTAGCAAGAATTGATGATATTTCGCGCAGTGTAAAAGCTATTGACATGAATCTTTCCAAATCGTATTTTTTTATGCATACCTTGATCAGGGTAAAAGCGCGTGGCGATCGGACGTCTATATCCTATAGCTCCCATAGGAACAATAGGGTAAAATCGGTCCAAATGTTTTTCAGAATATTTCGCGCTGTGTAAAAGCTATTGTTATAAATTTTTACAAATCGTATTTTTTTATGCATTCCTTCATCAAGGTATAAGCGCGTGCTAATCGGACGTCTATATCCTATAGCTCCCATAGGAACAATCGGATATAACTTTCAAGAATGGAAGATATTTCGCGCAGTGTAAAAGCTATTAACATAAATCTTTCCAAATCTTATTTTTTTATGCATCCCATAGGAACAATAGGGTGAAATCGGTTAAAATTTAATGATTTTTAGGATATTTCGCACAGTATATAAGCAATTGACATGAATCTTTCCAAATCGTATTTTTTTATGCATACCTTGATTAGGGTAAAAGCACGTGACGATCGGACGTCTATATCCTACAGCTCCCATAGGAACAACAGGGTGAAATCGGTCCAAATTTGATGATTTTCTGATTTTTTCGCGTAGCGTGTAAGCTACTGACATACATTTTTCAAAGTCTTATTTATTTACGCATATCTGGATTAGGGTAAAAGCGCTTGCCGACCGGACGTCTATTTCTTATAGCTTCCGTAGGAAAAATAGTTAAAGGCTGCGAAAGTATCCCTTTTTTTCTATTTTTATATGACATTTTTGCAGTATAAAAGCAATTGACATCAAACGACGCAAATCTAGTTTATTTATGTATACCTTATTCCTTTCGCTACTTTTTCAGTTTTAGCAATTTCGGCAAAGTCTGCAAGGGTATTAAAACTTCGGCTTGCCGAAGTTAGCTTCCGTCCTCGTTTTTAATTTGTTTTTTGTTGATCTCTGGGATTTGGTAATATTTAAATACAATACAACAATATCATATATGTAGCTGCCATAGAAACGATGGCAAAATGCAGCCCTAAATCGACATATGTAGCTTCATTGTTTTTAGTAATAAAGGCATAAAAATCTAAATGTACTCGTTTTGTAATAACTGCAAGGATATATTAACTTCGACTTACCGAATTTTGCTTCTTTTCTTGTTTATATGTGAAAATTGTCAATGCTTAAATGACATTTATCCTTTTTTCACCGAGTACACCCCATTCTCTTCCCTTCTAGAGGTTATATATTTGCATTTTTTATTTGCCTTTGTAGTATGAAGTCCACTTTTTATGTTTGCCAAGAAAAAGTTTCCACCGAAAAAGGAGTAGCTAAAAGTGATTCTTGAGCCCCTTGAGTTAAGCTGACTGCGGCTCGGTTCGGTTCGCTTCGGATTGGTTTGCTTTGGTTTCTGGTTTTGTATACGCCATACATTATTGTTTATTTTTTAATAATGCGTGTCCACTAAAACCGAAAAAGAAGAGGAAGCGTAACGCGGCATCATAAACACCGAAGGGCGCCCAGCACGCAAGACGTCGAAGAACAATAAACACGAACACCGAAAAACAAATGAATGTGTGAGCGCTCTGAGCCTGAACAGCGGATTGAAAGTGCCATGGATGTGGATGTCGATGTGGAGGAGGAGCAGTCGCAATGGGGCAGAAACAAGGGAAGCATTTCAGGGCGAAATTCGAGCAGAGTAAGCTGAAACCGAAACCAAAACCTCGAACCGCGCTCACTGAAAACTACATATAACATTCTTGTTTTTATTCCTTTATTTTGTTGTGTTTTATTTTTATGGCAAGCATTGCATTTAATATGGCAGCCCCGGGTATCAAAAACAGGCTCGCTCTCAGGGGACGATTATGACTGAGGAGCATTAAAAGCGGACGGATTTACTCTTTTTAATGGCAACTCAGCGGAAATTAGGAATCGGCGGAAATTGTGTGGCAACAATAATATCCCTGCGTATATTGTATAATGTTAAATGTATGATTATGCACAATCTTTGGTGTATACAAATTCCAGAAAAGGCTACAAAGTTGCTACTTCTGGAAACTACCGGAAGTTAGTAGTCTAAAGTGGGGTAAGATCGGTCCGTAAAAAACTGATTTACTATTAATTCAACACTCAAATAATATAAATTGTTAATTTAGTTAAATAACGGTCCGATATTTTAAGGGACACATAGGTGTAGTTTATAATTTTAGACAAGCCCGAACTCTTTGACTAGCGGTTCCTAAACATTTTTATACCCTTGCAGAGGGTATTATAATTTCAGTCAAAAGTTTGCTACGCAGTGAAGGAGACAATTCCGACCCTATAAAGTATATATATTCTTGATCAGCATCACCAGGAGAGTCGATCTAGCCATGTCCGTCTGTCCGTCCGTCTGTCCGTCTGTCCGTCCGTCCGTCCGTTTCTACGCAAACTAGTCCCTCAGTTTTAAAGATATCTGCTCATAACTTTCCCAAAAGTTGTCTTTCTATTGCAGGTAGTATATAAGTCGGAACGAGCCGGATCGGCCGACTATATCCTATAGCTGTCATATAACTGAACGATCGGAAAGGCCATAACTTTGGTGTTTGTAAAGTTAGGAAGTTAGGATTTTCTATGGGTTTTATTTTTGGCCAATCAATCCGACCTTTCAAGTTTCATAAGGATCGTCCGACTATATCCTATAGCTGTCATATAACTGAACGATTGGAAATGCCATTACCTTAGTATTTTTAATGTTAGGAAGTTGGGATTTTTTATAAGTATTAAGAATGCATCATATGAATAATTTTGGAGAATATAATTTACAGAATATTCTGCAAGGGTATATCAACTTCGGCTCCGCCCGAAGTTAGCTTTCCTTTCTTGTTATACCCTTGCAGAGGGTATTATAATTTTGGTCAAAAGTGTGCAACGCAGTGAAGGAGACATCTCCGACCCTATAAAGTATATATATTCTTGATCAGGATCACCTCCTGAGTTGATATAGCCATGTCCGTCTGTCCGTCTGTCCGTCTGTCCGTCTGTCCGTCTGTCCGTCTGTCCGTCTGTCTGTTTCTACGCAAACTAGTCTCTCAGTTTTAAAGCTATCGGATTGAAACTTTGCACACACCCTTCTTTCCTTTGCACGCAGTATATAAGTCGGAACGGCCGGGATCGGCCGACTATATCCTATAGCTGCCATATAACTGATTGATCGGAAATGCCATAACTTTCGTGTTTGTAAAGTTAGGAAGTTGGGATTTTCTATGGGTTTTATATTTGGCCAATCAATCCGACCTACCAAATTTCATAAGGATCGGCCGACTATATCCTATAGCTGCCATATAACTGATTGATCGGAAATGCCATAACTTTGGTGTTTGTAAAGTTAGAAAGTTGGGATTTTCTATGGGTTTTATATTTGGCCAATCAATCCGACCTACCAAATTTCATAAGGATCGGCCGACTATATCCTATAGCTGCCATATAACTGATTGATCGGAAATGCCATAACTTTGGTGTTTGTAAAGTTAGAAAGTTGGGATTTTCTATGGGTTTTATATTTGGCCAATCAATCCGACCCACCAAATTTCATAAGGATCGGCCGACTATATCCTATAGCTGCCATATAACTGATTGATCGGAAATGCCATAACTTTGGTGTTTGTAAAGTTAGGAAGTTGGGATTTTCTATGGATTTTATTTTTGGCCAATCAATCCGACCTATCAAATTTCATAAGGATCGGCCGACTATATCCTATAGCTGCCATATAACTGAACGATTGGAAATGCCATAACTTTGGTGTTTGTAAAGTTAGA